AACGTGTGAAAACTAGTTATCTAGGAGAGTGTACATGTTATCTAGACGAGTTATCTAGGGTGAATGTTCCAATTCCAGGGAAATGCGTGATTGACAGACAGAATAAAAGGTCCACTTAGGATTGCTGTGAGGTCGCGCATTTAAAGTAAGCCCATTTGGCATGCTCAAGTGTTTTTCTAGAGCTATGGCATGCTGGGTGGGTTTATGGTGGGAGCTGAGAGTTTTCCAAGGGAGTGATTAAAATAACTATGCATGAAATTCAAGCCAGGAGAATAAGGAGAATTTTGAGAAATGGCGTGAGTCAAAAGGACTGCAGGAAGGACTTAGCTGCAAAGATTGGAGGTATGGACTGAGACTGAGATTATAGCTGAGATGTGCTGAGACAAAGCTTAGAGCAGGTCCATGGGGGCTGAGCAGCTGTTAAGGAGAGACGGCATGATTATTGGAGAAGGGCAGGTAAAGGAACCATGAGGCCTGGTTATTAGAAGGTCACTCACTTGGATACTGAAATCAGGAGTTGCTTCAGAGAATGACAGTGAACCTGGAGATAAAAATCTTTTTTTAAAATAAAAGGCGGGGGGTGAGGTAGGGAGGACCCAGGAGTCCATAAATGACTGCACTGTGGAGGAGAATATAGTCTGACGCTGGGAGGAGGGGTGCAGAAAAGGGGGAGAAACGGTCTGGAAGCGGCCAGAAGGAGAAAAGAGAACATCTATTCCCCAAACCCCCAACTCCCACTCACCCCCCTCCAGGCCCAGGGGCAACAGGAGGCCTGTGAACAGCCACACTAGAGAGGGCTGCGCGGACAGTGTCCTGGAGAGAGCAGGGTTTCTGTGATATCAGGGAGGTAAAGGGAGCATTTATAGATGAGACAGAATAAAAATAATTTGCTTGGAGCAACCAAGTTTAGCAATACCAAACATCAAAACATAATGTCCAAGTCACACTGACAACTACAAAATTATCTGTCATCATTGTGCTTTCTGAGGCAAACTATGCTTAATATCTAAACCTGTAACAAAGTCACAACAACTCTTCCTATTTTCCAAGCAGATCATGATGAACTTAAGATTCTAGAGGAACATCTGCATATCCTGCTGTTAAAGACCTATGAGCTATGGCAGAGGTTGGTGACCCGGAATCATCTCTGAAGTGGAACCAAGGAAATGTTGGGGGAGGGGAGGAGACCAGAGTCAAGAATGCCTCTCAAGGGCTTGTTTGGGGAGCGCATAGGGCTGATCGTGCCTATAAAGGAGACAGCAAAAGAGGACAGGGAGACATGAATGCTTCAGTAAGATATAAGTTAAATTTGAGATGCCTGTAAGCTAACAAATTGGGATGTCTAGGAGCCATTGGAAAAAGGAGTACAGAACTCAGGAGAGCAGAGAGACTGGAAAGAGAGATTTTGGAGTCATCAAATAGGTATATGGAAGCTAAAGCAGGTAAGTGGGTGAAACTTCTCAGGAAGAATGTACAGAGCAGCCTTCTCAGCCTTGGGCCCCAGAGCTGATGTAATAGCTGCTCACCTGGCAGTGGCTAATCCATGCAAGCTACTAAAATGGGAGGTGCCATGCTGAGCCATATTGGATCCTGGGGAAAAGGAAAAATCAGTAATACCGATACTGCCTGTGGTGTTACATAGCATCTCCCCAAAATTCACATCCACCTGGAACCTAGGATTGTGACCTTACTTGGAAACAGGGTCTTTGAAGATGCAATTAATTAGGTTGAGAGCCTCCTGGATTAGGGTGGGCCCTAAAGCCAATGACTGGTATTATTATAAGAAGAGGAGAGACACGGAGACACACAAAGAAGGTCATGTGAAGATGGAGGCAGAGACTGGAATAATGCAGCTACTAGGCAAGAAACGCCAAAGATGGCAGCCATCACGAGATGCTAGCAGAGAGGCATGGGGTTTCTCCCTGGGTGCCTCTAGCCTCCAGAATTGGCAGACAACACATTTCTGTTGTTTTTAGTCACCTAATTCATGGTACTTAGTTACAGCAGCCCTAGAAAATGAATCCACTGTCTTTGTTTAAAATTTTGATATTTTTATGGATTGTTTAGCATTAATTTTGATTTTTAAAAATACTGCATTAAAATATTTATCTTGATTACTGAGTTTTTTGGCACCTCCTTAAAATTTGCAGCTGAAGTAAGTGCCTCACTTGCTTTACCCTAATCCAGGAACTGGGGCATAGTTTAACTACTTTCATTGGGATACTAGCAGACAAGCTTCTGTTCAGTCAATTTGCAGAGACAGGTATATCCCAAGAGCAAAGAGTAAAAGCAAACAAGCAAGCATGAGGGATGATTTCATGTTCTCTCTCACTAAAGAAATACAGCCCATTTTTTGGAAGGGACACAGATATTGGCAAGCCTTGTTTAGAAACAGCCAGCACACTCTGATCATTCCATCTGCTTCCCTAAGAAAGAAAAATCATCACATGGTGATTTCAGTGGCCTTAGGCCCTATGTAGAAGATTTTATGTTATACTCACTTTGAGAAAATATCTCAAGGGAAAATGTTTTCAAGTTGAATATGAGTATGAAAGAGCTGAATATAGAGTAAGTGGAAGTTTGGGACATGGTTCCAAGTCTTTTGACACTCCTCTCGTGGAGGTCAAGGCGGGGTGTCTGGGGCAAATTTCTTGAATCTGGGCAGCCTTATGACTCCTTTAACCAACATAGTACAGTGGACCAAATAGTGAGACTGAGTTATTAAAGGCCATGAAGCATCTGCTTATACAGAAGAACATTCTAGCTTGGAGGTCTGAGCTGCCACGGAAAAGTCTAACTACCATGAGACCACTAGCTGTACAGAAGTCAAGTGCAGGTGCTCCTGTCAGCCGCCTACTCTTTGACCAGCCCAGTACAAGGGATAAGACCTGAGACCTCAAGAAGGAAAGATCAAACATCCCTGCTGTGCCCAGTCTGAATTCCTGACCCACAGAACCTGCGAACATAATAAAATGGTTGTTTCAAGATGCTAAATTTGGGTCAATTGATTACAAAGCAGTAGCAACTACAATAGACTATAAGGGTCAAAGAGCTATCAATATGAATGGATAGATTCATTATTCAAAAATATTCCAATTATCTGCAGAATGGAAATTTACCATATAGTTTGGAATAGTTTTGCCAAATAACTTGAAGTAATCTTTGTGCATGTGTATTGTCCCACTGATATTTTCTATTATAGCTGCAGAGCAATGAAACATATAAAACCTGCTAACTAACCTTGCTAGTGCTTTCTGTTCAAATTGCTTGTTAATAGTGAGAGTTACCATCTTTGTTGTAAGAAAGGATAGGGTTTGCCAAACTTGCTCTTTGAGCCTGTTTCAAATTTTAGCCCATGAATGCTGGTGTTATTAATAAGAACAAACCCTAGTCAGTTAGTATTAGTATATTTTAGTGAATTCTAGTATTCATTTTAGACACTAATTCCTTATTAGACTCTCAGAGTATGGAATTGGAAAAAGCATCAGAAACTCTGCCTCCCTGGAGGTTTATGTTAGGCAAGTGACTCTCTGTGCTTTGTTTCCCAAATGTAGCAAGGATAACATCCGCTGGAAGAACTAGGAACAGGTGCCACTACATTGAGAAGCCTACGAGGTGGCCTCATAGTCTGGAAACATTGATATATTTCACAGATAGAATGTTTATTTCTTCTGGGGCAGCTAAAGCACCAGGTTTATTCTGTGAAAGGACCAAATCATCTAAGGAAATGCATCACAGAGGCATGTGCAGGGACTGATTGGAAATGATGTTTCTTGTGTTTTATAGAACCTGCAGCTATGTTATTTTGAATTGAGTTTAACATCATTTAGAGCACCTGTTTATATGGATTATTTTTCTTCCCGTTTCTGATTTAAACAGTTCACTACACACTCCCTTTCTACTACTCCCTGTCTTATCTTCACTACACACACACACACACACACACAACCTACTTTCACTAAGCAGCTATGGAAGTAGAAGGCAGCTTTTACTAGAGGAAATTTTGTATCTATCTATATGAACTTCCTCCTAACCTCCCCGCCCCCCAAATCCTTAAAACAAGAAAATAACCATTATAAAAATAAACTATAAAAATTCTTTTATTTCCTATTATGGTTGTTTAAAGGAGAGATATTTAAAGGAAAGGAAGGAAAGGCTGGCTCAACTATCAAGAAAACAGGAAGTTAAAGAAATAAAGCAAGGGGAGGAGATACAAGAGGAGAGAACTCAGGAAGGGAACAAAAATCATGGAAAAGGGAAAAAATCGTGAGGGAGAAAGGCAAGAAAAGGAGGCAATACATGCCCAGGGCTAACCCGTTCTGAAGACAGCCTTAGTCTAACTACCCAGAGTATCGGCATGGTGAAAGCAGTGGCCTGAATTCCACCCGTCTTGGGTAAGTCACAGAAATGTCGGGGCCTATTTCATTATCCATAAAACTTAGACAAAAACCTTCACCCTTTATAAATTTAAACTGTTTTATTTCTAATATATCTTGATTGTCATTTTGACTTTAAATAGCTGACAAAACAATTAAGCACTCCTCAAGGCTCCTTAACTGCTTTATATACCCAGCCTTTCAAGATGCCACTCCTGTGTAATTCGAAGAAAAACTACATTTCAACTAAATTAAAATTACATTAATTTCATCAAGCCAGTCTAGATACTGCTTATCTCAGCCTCCATATACAAAGCTGCCATTTTACCGCTCTTTCTTCCAATTTATACACTAAGAGAACACATAAAAACAAGCAAAAGCTTCCAAACCTTAGTAATGACACATTTGCACTGTAATTTTAACAGAACTCCCAGCTTGGAAGGAAATGAACTAGGGTGAGGGTTGCCTGAGTTTTCACCCTTATTAGGAAATGGGAATAGTTTAAAGACAGGAAATTACAAAAGAGCTTTCCTTTACAAAAGAGGTTCATACAGGGCAGGAGCACGGCACCGCCCTTTCCGGCTCTAAGAGATCCGAACTGAGCGGGAGGAGCCTACTACTGACCTCACAAGAGGCGGGCGCCACGGCGGCGCAGAGTTCGCAGACTGGCTTAGTAAGAAGGCCGGCAAGTTAGATCCGGCAGCTGGCGGAGGGAGTCTCTCGACCGCAACCATGCGCAGGAAGAGCGCACTGCGCGTGCGCGGAGTGGCCCTGTGCCTTGCAGTTCTTCTGGCTTGTGAGCGGCTCTTCCCGGCAGACCCCGCGGCTTGATATTTTCCAGGCTTCCTAGAAGTGACGTATATTCCGCGCTCCTTCCTCTTGGCGTTTGTGAAATCATTTCGCCCCATGTACCCCACGGCACTGCAACCCAGCCAAGCCTTGCACGTGTTCGCCGGCGGAACTGAGCATGATTGCCTCCTTCCCCCGCCCACCCCGCTACCCCCCGGGTGGAGTCCCATGAGGTTTGGCGGAGGCAGCAGAGAGTACGCTCGAGTCACTTGTCTGACGGGGTGTGGGGTGCCAGGCTATCACAGAGTTCATAGAAAAGGGTAAAGGACTTCCCAACTGACCTGCCCGCTTCAGTCACTTGCCCCACGGTGGAGCCCTCCGGGAAACCTGCCTCTTAATCCGTGATGGCCCTTCAGCGGCTTGTGGCGACTGAGTTATCGCCAGAGCCCTTCCATAAAAATTGTAAATGCCATAACTATTTAATTAAATCGCTTACATAAAACAGGAAGACTATTATGAGATTCCTTATGGGGAGGAGGGCAGAGTGAGCAAAGGGCAAAAGATAATCGTGGCCTTCACGGTTAAAAATAGTTCTGAAACTATTGAAGGGGCAAAATAGAGCTTATCCAGCTTGCATTTTCCCTGCAGCCACCTATTTCTCCTTGAACTCGCTCAGCCCAGGGAGGACACCAGTGTCTACAGGTCGAAAACAGCTCAAAAGCACGATTCACCAAGCAGAGCCTAAAAAGGCACACCTCTAGGTCCAGCTTTTCATGAACCTGCTATAGTCCCACTAGGACTGTCTGAATGAATATAAGCGAATGAGCGAAAGTGTGTATACGACTGTTCCCCCTTATTTATCGATTCTGAAAATTAAGTAACAATAGATATTCATAAATCTAAAGGCAAAACTTGTTTTCGAGACTCCAGTGATACATATAAAAAACACTGTACACAATAAAGGAATTATGTATCAGCTGTAATTAGTTATTCTCAGGATGTAAGAGTTAGATAACTCTGAAGTGTTTCCGGATTTGTGAATAGAAAACTTGTTCTGTGGTAGTTTTAAGGTGCGGCACATGAGTAATATCTGGTTGTGTACCGTATCTGCTTGTGTCATTGTTACTGTGAGGAAACCTTTCCCTGAGACAAAACTAGAGTAGGTCTCTAGTGAGTTTAATGTCACAATGTACATAATTTAAATTAACCAAATAAAAGTTCCACTAAAACACCTTATGGAAGGTCTAGAGAAAGCTTGTTCTTTTAGTTACATAGATATCATTCATTGTTTTCACTAACAAATATTACACCTGTTCTGGAGAACCAGCATCACAATAGAGCCTTTGGATGCTGTCAAAGAAAAAATACTGGAGTGGGCATCAGAAAAACCAGAGTTCTAATCTCACCCCTGCCACTCTTATCTAAAATCTTGGTCAAGTCATTTTATATCTCTGAGCTTCCCTTTCCTCACATTTAATGAGGTCTTTGCCACTCCCCAATTCTCCTGTGGTATTTTGCCCCGTTTTAGCATTTATGTACTCTTTGCTTGTCAGTCTTCACCAGTTTGGTCTTCACGCCTAGCATAAATAACATAGTTTAGTGGGTGCTCACTAGAGGTTTGTTGAAATGACTCCTTCCAACTTGACAAAGTTTCCTTACGGACCATTTTTCTTTGAAACAATGTCGTAGATCTGTTATTAAGAATGCTATTTATTGTCAAAAATCATCCCACAGATTACTTATTACAAAGACGCAGAGGACCTTTACAATGGATAAATCTGGTGGACACCACAGTAACTGAACTATCAAAATTAACCAAAAGTTGGACAATAATTGTATATCACATGCCCCTTGATGTAAAGCTCGGAGGACACATCATCATTCATGGAGTACTCCTGGAAAAGAAAATGTTTACCTGGAAAATCAGACAAATCCCAATTGAGGGACATGCTGTGAAACAGTTGGCCAGAAATCATGAAAAATATCTTAAAGGACAAAAACTCTAGAGAATTACCCTAGATTAAAGAGACACGACAACTCTGTGCAGGGAACTTGATGCAAGGCTCATTTATTTTTGTTTTATCATGTTCAAAATGGTTAATGTGTTCATCAGATTTCCAGTTATTTTCTGTT